GTAGCAGTAGCGGTAGTAGTACTAGTAGTGTAGTAGTAGTAGTAGTAGTAGTAGTAGTAGCAGTAGTAGTAGTAGTAGTAGTAGTAGTAGTAGTAGTAGGACAAGGAATAGGAATAGGAATAGTAGTCGTAGTAGTAGTAGTAGTAGTAGCAGCAGCAGCAGTAATAGTAGTAGTAGTAGTAGTAGTAGTAGTAGCAGCAGCAGCAGCAGTAGCAGTAGCAGTCGTAGTAGTAGCAACAGCAGAAACGCAAAAACAGGAGTGGTCCTCGTGGTAACTTGTGGTTGCTGCTGTTTCATAAAAGCAGGTTGTAGGTGCGACCTTCGGAGGCATGGGAGATCTACTGCGTGTTCCAGGATCGACTTCGTAATATATTGATGAGACTCCATCAGCTTGGACATCGGCATTCCTTTTGAACACAACAAACTATTCCGAGATGTAGGTGTTCGCACAGATAGTCTCAAGCGTTCGGTGGGTTTTTGTCCGCCACGCTCGCAAGCTGAAGCAAGGTGCTTTCCGGAGGTTGATTAAAAAGCTGATATCCCGTATTCATCTCCTCTGTTGTGATTATGCCCTGCCTCGTCGAGATATTCGATCTGGGGCTCGCCAACACCGCCTGTGTCAAACGAACACTTAGTCAATAGCACAAGGGCTACAGAAACCCGAAGTCCAACAACACAACTAACTAAGGGAGCTAAGGACATGTAAAAACAACGGTACACAACCACATTGCGACGAAAGCCAGCTAAAGCACTCAAGACATCACATTCATGAAAATGCGCTTGAAAAAACGGAAGGATAAAGCAACAGTTTTTGTACTTTTTGTAGAATTCTGATTTGGCGTTCCCCTGCCGGTCTGGCGCGAGATCAAACAGAACATGTTCCATTGTAGTCTCGTTCTTCAGCTGGTGCCCATGTCACTCCACCCGACCACCCCATCGTTTGTGCCTTAATTTCTCAGCCTCCCGAAGCTGACTCCCCCTCTACACCATACCCGCGCTCAATATATAGGAAGGTTTGCAGCAGCAGCAGCAACGACGACAGCACCAGCAACAGTGGTGACATCAGCGACAATAGACAGATTCGTCCCACAAGAATAACAATAACAGCAAGCACAGTAAGAAAGATCACAGTTTGAGAAGTGATCACAATGTGCTTCCTTCTCCTATGTGACAAATTGTGAGATATTAGCCCGTGGCATCTTAATGAAAACCGAACGACGCACCGAATAAGAAGCAAGCCTGCAGCATCCGCATAAAGAATAGAATTAAGCAGCCGGTGACCATGCAGAGTATACATCAAGCCAGGGCAGTCACTTAGATTAAACGCAACGACAACGTCAGGTGACATTAGTAGAGAGGCAGTACCGTGATCTCCTTCCCCGGGAGATCGACACTTGAGCATTGGAGTCTGTGTAGCTAGGGCCATCTAGGGACCCAGGCCGATGAGTGTGTAGCAGCGCCGGAACTGGCCGATGTCTGTGATATCCGTCTCAGGAACGAAATAGACCTCAAAGAGCGCATCTGGGACATCCGAAAACATCCGGAAAACTGAAAGTGCCTCGATCTGACCCAATCGGAAACCAAACCGTTTCTCGATGCGCTTGTCCTGTCGTGGTAGAAAGATATCTTAAAGAAGCGAACGTGAGTTGGGAGCTATGACTCAGAAACCCGCACTTTCCGGCCGGCAGAGACGCATGTCAAAAACTCGTTGCCTCTTTTCCGCTGTTATGCAGTTGATGCAAACTAAGATGCAAACATCAGGGCTTCTCTGGCTCAGGTGCCCCAAAGCTAACTGGTTAAGCAGGTCTGATGTGTCACCAAGATGATAGAGCCAGCATGCTCGAAGACTTGCAACGTAGCTGAACATGACAGGGTTCTGATTCAGATCGTCTTAAGCAAGCGCGTAATTGAAGAGATGGACGTCTTGCTGTCGAAGCCATGTTAATGTCTCCAGACTGGCCACTAGTAAACAAGACACCCACCCGTCATGCAAATGAGCTTTTGTCTGCACGTCCTCTCCCAGATTGTCGATGGAAAAATAGAAGGACACGGTCATCTCACCTGCATGCACGGACAGCCTTTTCGGGTTCTGGAATGTTAATGAGCAGAGCAGTGGTACTCAATGCAAACCTCTCAGGTCCCCGCGCAAGGAGCCGAAATTGAGAGGTGGGATGTACCTGGAAGGATTGTATGTTCGTATCGGACAGGCCACATCGCGCAACGAGCCGGGATCACAAAGCTGCGTAGCTGTAGGACGTGAATGACAGCTGCCCATTCCTGACTAAAGTTCAGGCGAAGGCATCTTCCCTGGAATTCAATCGTCCTGACTATTCTTGCTGTCCGACTGCATTCTGCATCATCATCATCATCATCAACATCATCATCATCATCATCATCATCAGCATCAGCATCATCATCATCATCAGCATGAGCATCATCAGCATCATCATCATCATCAGCATCATCATCAGCATCAGCAGCATCATAATCACCACCAGCACCGTCATGGTACCACCATCATACCTACTATTACAACTGTCATGATCGCGGTCACGGGACTTACGTTCATGATGACAGGTATCATCGATGCCTTCGGCTCTAGTCTTTATCGTCATCGTCGGCATCAAAATTACTGTCATCGCTATCATGATAATCTTCATCGTAATCACCGGCTTGAGCATCTGCATCTCACATGGCGCTACAGCGGCAACTTTCTGACTACGAGCTGTTTCTGACCTCTCTGTTGGTGTGCATGCAGAGGAATTGTCAGCTTGATGTACATTGCACTGTACAAGAAACGATTGGACAAGAAACGTAGGGGCTACGTCAGCCGGACAGCACCGAAAAACCGAAATCTTAAACTGCCTTCTAGCTAAGAAATGAAGGGTACCCAACGTTTTGGGATCATTGCTTATTTCGGGGTTTTCCAGGTCCTAACCCTAGGGCATGGGGCAGAGGCCAGAATAAGAAATGTAGGGGGCTACGTTTCTTATTTTGGGCCAGAAGCCTAGGGCACACGGCAGGAGCCAAAGTAAGACATGTAGGGGGCTACGTTTCTTATTTTGGCTGGTTTCCAAGCAAGAAGCCTAGGGCACACGGCAGGAGCCAAAATAAGAAACATAGGGGGCTACGCTTCTTATTTTGGCTGGTTTCCATAAGCCCTAAGCCCTAAGCCTATAGGGCACATGGCAGGAGCCAAAATAATAAACGTAGGGGTCTACGTTTCTTATTTTGGCTGGATTCCAAGCCCTAAGCCTAGGGCACAC